GCGGGTTGGGCAGCTGGAGTGGCCGCGGGGAAGGAGCAGGGGTAGGAGCGCAGCAGCCGGCGCTGAGTTCTCGCCTCTGGCAGGAGCAAGGAGAGGTCTCGGTGGAGGGTGTGTGATGAGAGGTCTCGGTGGAGGGTGTGAGATCCTCCTGCCCGTTCACTGATTTCCCCTCTTTCCAGGTGACTTTTGAAATTGGGGTGGGGGGAGCAGAACTAGGTAACAAGAGGTAACTTTAACCGGGCACAGCTTTTTCCTGCAGTTTGGACGCTGGTTAGAAGTCCGCTGAGCTCAGATTCTTTCCAGTAGGCTGGCAAATATCACACCTGCACGTAAGAGCGGTGGAAATAATGGCTCTACTGTATCTCTTAACCAGGGATAACACTGACTCTTGGAGCGCGGGTCGAGAATGTTTTCCTATGGCCCTGGCAACGGCCGGCCAAAAGTACCGCAAAAATTTTGTTTCGTTTGGTACAAAGCTCCACTTGTATTTTTCGGCGAATAGCCACAGTTGCTGGAGGAGAGTTAGGGTAGGAGGGGGTAGAATCTACTGCTCAGCCCGAAATAAGCACGTTGTGCTGGACTTAGAGCATTATGGCATTGCTCTCTTTTCAGTAGGATTTGCTGGCTGCCACTTTTATTAAAATCACATACTTGGTGGTGTTGTGGAATTGGCGCTCTGGCTCAGGACTCAGATCTTCGCGCAAGACATAGTGGTGTACTCACATGATTCAAGTCCCAATTTGTCTGTCTTACAAATCCATCTCATAGTTTGGCACTATTATCAGCCTTTCCTTGTGAGAAGCCTGCAAATGAAATAGCACTTTTCTGGACTGAAGTGTGTAAGCAAGGAGTGGAGCAGGGAAAGCTGCTGGCTGGCTGCTTCCCCACACGCAGACCAAACCCAATGCTTTACATCCCCTGGTTTTAATGAGCAGTACATTTGGTCCGCAGAAACTAAAGTGACATTCAGCTCAATGTTTTGATAACTGTTATTCCATTTAAAACTCTTGGTTTTTAAGAGTCAATATTATTATTACAGAGAAGAAAAACAAGGAACTATTTGACCTGGTTTCCTTGCTTTCCTGATACGGCCTGACAATGTGTCAATTATGTAGTATTTCCTCTACCTTCTCCGGTAAATTACTGTAATGGGAGAATGAATGTGCAAATACAGTCACTACCTTCCTGCTCTCCTCACAATGATATCTTTATATTGAGTAACATAATTTTGCATAGATCAGGTATCAAATCTACACTGGCTCATCAAGAAAAATTATGACTTCTCTTTCCTTTCAAAAAGTATGCAGATATATGCCCAGGTCTGTCCATACAACTAAATACATATCTTTTTGAAGGGTCACTCAAGGAATCCTTCTGCCAGGGTTTTATCCTGCACCTTATATGAGTTTTGCCATGGACTTGAGCAGGCACAGGATGTGACCCTCAACAAGGGTTCCTTTTGCTCCCTGTACATGGAATGCCCTCCGTGGATTGCTCTGCAGATGAATGTACTCTTCTTTCCTTCTTCAAACTGCCTCTCAAGATTGCTTCCCATTGTGAAGTTTATAGAAACTGGTGCCAAGCCAGGAGGAAAGTGGGATAAGTGGATACAACCACATTTTTAAAAAGTATCTCTAATCCCTCTTCCTCTGCCTTGTGTTTGATCTTTCATTGTGGGCATTTGGGAGAATTGCCTCTTATTTTGTGTTTTGAAAGTGTCTTTGGTATTGCGTATGGTCTCATCATCCAAATCAGGGGTGGTCAACCTGCAGTACGCATGCCACAGGTGGCACGGGCAGTCTGTGTGTGTGGCATGCAGCAGATCGGGAAGGAGAAAGGCAGCGCGGGGGCACATGTGGCAGGGAGCAGGCATCGGAGCATAGGACAGGGAGCAGACAGAAGATTAGGCAGGGAGCACGGGGCAGGTAGCAGAAAGCAGATCAGGCAAGGGAAGAGGTTTGGAGCAACTGGGGAGTGTGCAAAGCTAACTTGTGGCACGTCAGCCCAAAAGGTTGTCCCTCACTGATCTAATACTAATTTGGGGGAACTGCTTGTTTGCAGTGTGGACCATTTTTTGTTGCGTTTCATCCTTGCAAGCACCCACTATTGTCAATTGAATTGTATGGGTGTGCAGAAATGGAGTTTGGCCTGTTAATGTCAGCAATTGGATTCCAATAGAACTCAGTAAAGCTTGGGGAGTGCAGCACATTTGGTTCAAACCTCTGTAATATTTGTAAAAATTTTCTTGACTTTTCAATTAGTATCTATTAATGTATCCAACAACTGAGTGGGCACAAGCATTTGGACAAACTCTGTGAGTTTAGCAGACCTGAAGCTCTTGTGAATGCACATTTAGAATCTGGTTTGCAGGATGACTCTTAGCTTTGTTGAGGCATGCATGTTTTGAGCTGAAAGGGCTTGCTTCAAAAGGGTTTTTGCAGTGTTTTCTTTATGCAATAATTTTCCAACAGTATTTTTTTTCCAGATGTTGCCTGCTCTGTGTAGCTTGACTGTCCTTTCTGGGACAGCACACTGCATTCCGATGTGAGCTGTCTCAGTCTGTGCCACCTTTTCATAATTTGGAAATTCAGTTTAATATTTGTGGCTGAGCTCTTGATTTTTAAATCGTATAGAAAAACTCCCACATCTTGAGTGCTAAGTGATGATTTTGTGACACTTAACAGTTTTCTGTTAATTACTGATACTGAACATTAAAATCTATTTTTTTTTTTTTTTATAAAGACCAATTTCATATATTTCTATTACTTTTGCTGGACTAAGCACAGAATTAAAAGGCTCAGAATTACATGATTGTACTGTAGTGTTTAAGTACTTTATTGCATGTTATCAAATATTTAATAGAAGGTTATAAAGCAAATACCTACTTTGTATCTTTACAGTAGCTACAATTTTATGTTTTACCTCTAATGCCACTCTTGTTCTAATTTTGCTCCCAATATAAATAAGAAATGTGTGTGATGGACATTTTTTGTCATGTCTTCCAGAAAGAGAATAGATGTTTAGGAATCCATCTTATAATACCTTCCCTTCTAACAGTTGCCTAGTCTGCGCTGCTCCTTTCATCCACACATGCTTCTAGCAGTGTAACTACTGTCTTTTGAATGTAACTACTACATCATTGCCTGTGGTTGTAGGGGACTGAACAGGAGAACTCAGTGGTCCCGTCCTGTGTTTGTATGCCTTATTCCAAGGCAACCCAGTAGTATTTGTAAGCAGTCAAGAACAGGAAGCCAATTTTTATACCATAAAGAACAGAGGGATCAGTACACATGGTGACCTCTGCTGTAATCAAGAGTATGAAATTAGGTTATTATCAAGAAGAGATGGGCGGGATAGAACTTGGTCTGTAAGATAGAGGACAACTTTCATACAGGGGTGATGTCGTGTCTCAAACAGTACCAGACTAAAGAATCAACTTCTTCCATGGAAGATGGGAAAAAAACTTCTTAACCCTATTTAATTGCTATTGACCTATGTTCTGAAATATGAGTGATTAAATCCTTGATTGTAAGACTTTGGGTTTGTAAGACCTAATGAATGACGAAGCCCATTTGGTGTTCTCTGCAGTGAACAAACAACACAGGAACATGCTGCACATTAAGGGCGTTTTTAGATTCCAAAAGGAAGTTCTCTTCAAAGCCAGCATTTGTACATCAAGTAACAGAACATATACTTCTAAAAATATATAACAGCTTGTTGAGGCTTATCTTTCATTTCAGTGGGACTGATTTCTTAATGAGGTCCTCTCACATCACCGAATTCCTGCATCTCGTGGCCAAAAACCTTGTCATGGCAGAGATCCACAGTTCCATGAGGAGTCTATGGAGGTCTCCTAGCATTGAGGGACTCGTTTAGTCACTCTTCCCATCTGCTTCAATCTTCTCTTCCTCTGCTCCCTTGCACATACTTCCTGGTTGCCTTGTCCTCCCCCTGCCTCAGCTTGCACTGGCTGGCTGCCATAGCCTCCCTCTCCCATATATCTTTCCCCTGTGGAGGTCTTTCTCAAGAAGGTCCCTGCAACTAATTGTTGAGATCAAGAATTCAGAAGCTTAAGTACCTATGAAACAACTAGAAAGAAGGAAGGAAGGAAAGCCAAGTATTGAGCTAGTATCTGCCAGCAGCACATGCTCATATAAGTGAAGCCCCCTCAAAAATCTTAACTTTTTTTTTAACCTTTGAGATCCACTGTTCCAGCTTTTCTTCTCAACTATGAGAGCTAGAAGTTACTTTTCTTGGAAAAAAATGAAAGTTGAAATTCTTATATACTGTAATTTCATGAGAAACACAGGCTTTGACAACAAGAGGTACCCAGAGATTCATAATAAAACCACAAAAGTTGTCAAAGGTGACTCAAAGCAATCTGCCAGTTCATTCTTCTGTGTCCCAAACGACTGTTCTGCATCCTTGTTGGAAAAATCCTGACCAAGATGATAGCACCCCACTAGTTGATCTGGAGGCTGGTACAGAAAAAGTAAAAACTGGAGCTCCCCTGAAGTTAGGAAGGAGAGAACAGTACACTCCAGAAATAGAAGCTTCCTACCCCTTTTCACTTTCCAGAACTACATGCTGTGTCTCATTCTGAAACATCTTTTCCTCCACTTCAAGAGTCATTTTATCTTGCTGCTTTCTGAGAGAAATTGACATCTTGTATGTAACACGCAGCCATGAAGAGGAAGGCAGCTCTGGCCCTGTGGAGAGGAGAATTCAAGTACAGTGTGGGAGGGAAAAGACAAGAGCTTCTGAAATGAGAGAACAGAACAGATCTCTAATCTCTAGACTCTGACACATTTCTCACTTTTCTCAGTTGCTTAGGAAAAAAAGCTTTGCATTCAAAAAGAAGTGGGAGGTTTAAACAGGATCTCACACACATGTAAATTTCTGTTCAGTGGTCCATGTTATAATTTACAGTTATATAGCCCCTTGGATCTCATAGCACTTTAATAAAAGTCACATCTATTCATCATAAGGGTATGCTGAGAGGAAATAAGGAAGCTTCTTAACAGTTCCCACCCACACTTCAACAGTTTGGATTGGTGGTGAAAAAATGGGTCTCCAATTCAAACTGCAGGCTGCAGTGTAAAATCTAGGCAATTATTCAAGCTGGAATATTTTCAGAACAGGGGAGCTAATACTCCAACTACTGCCAGTGTCAGGGAGGTGTAATGACCACAAGGGTCAGAAGTGTGGTCTTACAAGATGACATCTTAAGTATTCGGTGCACAAGATGCTGCTCATAGCTGTTGCCTATTGCAGTCAATGCTTATTGGTAGCAACCTGTTAGTGGCCTGGTGCTATGTTGCTCTCCGCAGCTGTTGCTGTTGTTTAAGTATATAGCAGGGAAAATATTCTGAGGCAAAATGCTGATGATAAATGGCTGTTGCTCTTAACAGATGCTTCTGCAAATGGGTGTCCATTACATAGAAAAGAAATATTACATCCGGACTAGATCACTCAACAACATTTCCAGCAGAACATCATGGAGACATTTAATCCAAATACCATTGTCCAGCCCCGACCCAGCTTTGCTGACATGTATGGTCGCAAGCAACTGCAAACAGCTATCAGACTCTCTTGGTGCTTGTGCATTTCTTGAATAACCTCATTGTAAGAGTCCCAAAAGGTCTTGTAATCAAGTGCTGCATTAATCTAGGAGCAACACTTTAAACAAACAAACTGAAGCACTAAAATGGTGTCCAGAGATAAGGGTGGGGAGCACTTCTTCCTAGCAGGCCACAAGACAGGTGGGAGTTCCTGCTTGTACTGCTCAAACAATTTCAAATTAAAAGAAGGAAGTAAGTTGCAAATGCAGAATTTCTCCCATCTGCCAAAACTGAACAGTTGAGTAGGCTGAGTTAATGAACTGTTCAGTGATTACTGTACATACTTACAGTGAATACTAAGGAAAAGGGGAGGTTTTAAATAAAGGCAAGGTGAGGGGGAAGAAAGTGCAAATACCTGGAAATATAGAAATTACCCTGAAAGCACAAAACCACAAAGACTAATGAGGTTTCAGATCAAAACTACCCCAGGGACAAAATAGTTAACCTTCTTAGAGCTTGGCAATGGAGAATGATCACTTGTTTTTTCTCTGATGCTATGGTACCAAGTTCTGCATTTTTTCTCCTTTTCAAAGCTGTGCTTTTTGCATAACTTCTGGTTTGATGAGATGTAGTGAAGGACCAAACATTTAAGAGCAATTAGGTAAGATGAGCAGTTGTTAGGAAAACAAGAGTGAATGGAAGTTAAAGGGGATCTTTCATTATACTTTGCCTAAATTCAAATTCTGCTCTTGATAATGTATCAACTGATCATTTTAGACATCAGAGGTTGTCTGATACATGGTCCTTTTGTGTTTAGTTTTGTTAAGATTTATAATGAGTATTTTAAGAGGGGGTACTTTACGGAAACTGCTTTTATAATTGATAATGGAAATAATCCATAATATGGAAAGGTCAGAAAATTGAAGACCCACCTTGGATAATAACATAAGAATCACTCTTATAAAAGGCACAAAAGAATAGGATTTGCAGAAACACTCAGTGCACAACAGCTTTGAAGGGTCTCTTATTTAGGTGGAGAAGGACCTTCTGCTTTTTTATTTAATTCTCTCTCTCCATCTTCCACAATTGTAACTCTGTCCTGGGCCACCCACACATCAGACTTTGCTAAATGGAAAGACTGTTACGCTGAATATAAATATGGCATCCCCTTCCTCACATTTAGTAAAGCTTCCAATGCCTACTATTCATTTTCAGTCACAGACTGAATTCACTGTGGTTTATTGAGGATTTCCAGAGTAGAGGTACTTGGCAACAAATTGTGACTTTGCAGTTTTGAACATTAAATATTAGTTTCATTTCCATTTTCTTCTCAGTCAATAGAACATGTAGTCAATACATTTTTGAAATATGTATGCTGAGATCACCACCTTTGCCAGAGAAAAGCCTGCCTTTATATGGAGCCTTTATGGGGTAAGACATGCCATGGGTCAGTTTTGAATTGCCACCTGAAGTCAGAGGAAACTTGCATATACACCAATGGCCAGACTGAGCTCTGGGGCTATGTTGTTTACAATTAAATCAAACACCTGGTAGAGACTGTGGACCTCCTGGGTCCCTGTACAAGAAGACGAGTGTGTAGAACCTCTCAGTACAATATAAATGTTGAGTCAGGAAAGTCTGTAAAATCCAGTGGGAAAGCACACATTCCAGAAGCGACTTTTTAAAATGATGGTAGCATGAAAGTGATGTTGTAATTGTGATGGGCCAGAAATTATGTGAGAGGCAAGGATTTCTTAGAGTGATATCTTTTATTGGGCCAACTACATAGTTGGGATAAAGTCAGACAAGCTTGCAAATGCAAGACATTCTGGGAGACCTGACAAAGAATGCCTTGCATTTGAAAGCTTGTCTAAACTTTAACCCAACTACATCATTGGTCCAATAAAAGATCTCTTTTTAAAATTACAAAATGACAAATTTACATGTTAAAAAAAAAACTCCACAAAGCCAATTTATGCAGTCTTTCTGAAGTTATTTGTACAAGATGAACCTTCAATGCAGTATTGTTAGACTGTTATCATAACATTTCCATTACTGCTGTATGAGAGAGTAATTAACTTGAGCACTATGTAAAAGAGGGGAAAAGAAAGTACCTGTCCTGTAAAATAGCTATTCATCAGACAGAACCTTGTTTACCTGTATTGATCTTGCTGGATGATCAATCCTGCAGACCTCTGCTATGCTGAGAATTTTTCTGTTGTCTATGAGACTTGGGAAATTTTGGGGAGACAGGTCAGTGTTTTCAAACCAGATTCTGGAAGTGAGGCTGATCAATATCTATATCTATATCCACACACACTGACATAAAATGGCCTGATTTTTATCAGTGCTGAGCATCCATGACTGATTAAACTCAGGGGGAGCTGTATGTGCTTAGTATTTTTGAAAACCAGGGTACTTCAATTTTAGGGTCTTCACTTGAGTCACTCAGCTCTGAAAATGTTGACTCAGTGTTTCAGTTGTACTGATAAAGCATATCTGCTAGTGATTTCAGTTCTGCAGTTTTCCCAAATAAATCAATCTGCTGTGTCTGATCACTGTGGAGCACCCAGTCCACATGAACTCAACCCTTTCTCATTGAGCTCTGACTAGTCAGGGGAGGAGCAACAGGTATCTACACCCACTCGGGCTGTTACAGAGCGGGTAGGAAACTGCTCTCCTACCTCCTGCTGCTTTCCCTGTGTCCATGGCAGGATGAGAGTGTCACATGAGAAGAGATCAAGTAGGTGTACCAGACCCAGAGGCTTGAGGTTTTGTATTGGTACACAGGTCAAGAAGCAGATCTAGTACACGGCCGCTAGGCACTTTCGGAGCACAGCGCTGCCCAAAAGGAAGGTAGTGTCCTAATCCTGACTAAGGGATTCAACACTAGAGGATCTACTTGGTCATATTGTTATTGATGGAGTCAGAATGCTTCTATTAATTAAATGAATAAAAGATGCTTATGTTCTTATTAGCAGGACCACTTTTTGGCACTGTGGTTCATTTGTGCATGCTGATAAAGGTGTTAGGTTAAAAATACTTGCCAACCCAAAAGATGCGGGATGTGGGCTGTTGAGATGTAGGATCTCAGATCACAAGATGTAGAAGTTTGGAATGACATCTTTGAGAGGGGAGCTTGCCTACATATCCTTAATCACTCATGTATACATACCATTAAATTGTCTGTGCTGGCATTGCTATAACTTTAATATATGAATTATTTATATTGCCATTGTGACTAAAACAATTTCTACTCTGCACAGTACAATACACAGTCCCTTCTCAAGTCCAGCATGGGAGTGTGACAAACAACAGACAAAAAGGAAAGAGGGATGGTAATGGTCACGAGATCACATGGGTATATATGGCTCAATTGATGCACAATTCAGTGGTTTCAGATCATCTCTAGTTTTTGCTTACTTTTAATATAAAAGTAGTTATCCTGGAGACAGCTTAGTCATTTGTCCTCAGAAGTTGTTCTGGAGGAGGGATGTCATAGAGAAATGGGTTTGCAGATTAATTCAAGGAAGGTGTACCACGGGGTAAGGATGGCATCACTGGTAAAACAAAGGAGGGGGGTTAATGTAATAAGAGACAAGAGCAGCTATATAGTGGAGAGAGTAATTTCCCAGTAGTATTTCAGTAAAGGCTCACCATGTGGCTGCACTAGCTGTGCCTTGTTTTAAATGATTAAGCAATATTTTAGAAGATGGGGTATTAGTTAGCATTTCCTCTAATGTCAACCAAAGAAGATAATCATGTCCATTAGCTGGATAAAGTAAGCATATCTAGGGGTGGATCTAGGATTTTGAAAAGGGAGGTGTGCAGGTAGTGTGGGGCATCAGCCCATAACACAACACACATTTTTCTCATTAGTAAAGCTTCCAGTTTCTTTTTAAGATGCTTTGGGCTTAGGCCTATATTATACAGTTTATGATCCCAGCAAATCTAAACACCATGGAGCCTGTGAGGGGCTGACTGCCAGGTTGGGGCAGACATCTGGTGCCTGGGGGGACAGCTGTTATCTCCCAGCCTGGCCACAGACAGAACTGTTCCTTGCACCCACATACATGGGTCCCCCAGACACTTCACCATGGTCTTCAAGTGTCCCTCACTGCCCTTTATCAGGGCATTATGCATTGCCCCTATCACCTCAAATGCCCACTTGCTCTACTTTGTCCTCCATTTTCCCACATATCCTCCATGGTCAGCCCCACACCATTGTGCCCTAAACTCATCAGAGTCTCCGTGGATCCACTGCATCCTGTACACACTCGTCCACATCACACCCCAGGCCCCCTGACCCTTCGCCATTCCCTTCCCACCCCACTGAGCTCTCCCCTGCCCCGTGAGCCGTCAACCTTCAGTACAGCCCATCACACCCCCTGCATCTCCCTTACCTACAATTCATCTTGCTCCCACCCCCCCTCACACCACATTGCACCCCCCCAGACCACACTATCCCCTTCAGCCCCAAACCCCATCTGCCCCTAACACCTCCCTGCCCCACAATGCTCCAGGCCTTCTTCACCCTGCCCCCCCACTTCCCAAAAGCGCCTTAGTACCCATGACCTCTTGTCCAGTCCCTCATGGCCCCCAGGAGCCCTTTCCATTCCATACCTCTCCCAAACAGTTCCCCTTAGCCCTTACAGCCCTTGGCCATGGGGCAGATGGGGGAAGGTCTGTAACTGTTCTCCTCCCCACCCCCGCAGGTTGTCTGTAGCTGGCCTCCACTGCCCTCCAGCCTCAACAAAGAAGCAAACAGTTGGAGTTGGGGAGGACTTGTTTCGGCTGCTGGCAATGCCCCTCCCCAGGGAGACCAACCCAACTCATCTGCCCATGCTCAGCTTTATGCTTCCCTGGTTATGCTGCTTCTTACAGTTGGTGTCATCTGCTGCAATAAATAACCAAGGAAATGGGAACTGCTCTAACTTACCTCTTCGACTCACTTTTGCAACTCCTTCCTGCCTCTGACTGCTGTACCACTACAGAGCTCAGGCTGCTTTTAGCCTGGCCCCCCCCTGCCCTGTCTTGGAGTTATGGGCTTGAATCCCCTGTGAACCAAACCACCTTCTATGGGTTCTTAGATAGCAGCACACCTTTATAGGATGTGTTGGGGGGTGAGCAGAGAAACATTAGTAGGAGTCAATAATGGACAAGGTAATGTAGAAGAAAGGCTAGCTTTATGAGAGGAAGATCAGAGGTAGTTAACACCTATGCAGTGACGAGACCAAGCCATGATCTGCCCTGATCGTATCCCCATGCAAAGGATAAATGCATGCTGTTAGTTTTGTACACTGGGAAAGTTTCTCTCTCCAACACTTCTGGAAAGAAAAATAAGGTGGTTTTTTTGGTTAGGTTCTTAATGATGATTTTCAAGTGACTTGGTGCTTGAAGCCCTCTACTCAGAGACAGGCACAGCATGGGTAGTCACTGTCTAGCCATCCAGCCTCAGTCTTGCTCTGTGGAGAAATCCATTTCATGTCAGTTTAATTGAGGCCTTTTCTGCTGAGATTGGACAAGTGGCACCAACAATGATTTTTGTAAGACATACAGCAGAGAGGGTGCATTCCTATATACCAACGAAACAGCTATCAAATGATACCTCCAGATAGCTGCTGTCCTGGCTTGGATTCAAACCAGTGACCTAGAGGGAAACAATTCTATAACCAGTTAATACTCCCCTACACCATTTAGTCTGTCACTGAAAGCTGACTCAGAGTGTAATAGCTGTTCTTACAACATCTAATCTTTTCTAACAGAGAGATTTAAGGTAGGCGAGCTCTTACTGCATTTTCACAGGTTTTATTAACAGCAATATTGCAGCGGGCAGTGGGATGAAAATCTTCCTACTGATGTACTGGATCACTAGGTTTTGAATTCTGTGCAGTTTCCAAATAAGGATACAATATTGAAGATGGTCATGATTTTTTTAAAGGGACAAAATACTAAACTCTCTCAGATTGATTTGATAATGGGAGAAGAGGCGAAATTGCCTGACAAAAATTAATAAGTTATGAATTGAATCCTAGGGATGTGTGAGGAATATGTTGACTCTCAGAGAAATGCTAACTGAATACCAGAATGGCCTGTGTATGGTCTGTCCAGGGCCCTAGCTTGAGAGGAAACTTTAGAACACTAGGACTGACTTTTTCTACTTATTCTCATTGAATAAAATCAGTTTACAGTTAATCCAGTATTAAAAATCTTGGCAGAAAGTCTTCTAGAGAAGGTAGATTTGTTTAATCACTTGGGCCAGCATCCAACCCACTGAAGAGTATAAAATGCACACACTATCACCATTCACCTCAGTAAAAATGCCTCTTTCATGTCCAAGGAAATAGCTAGGGTGGGCATAAAGATATCTTTGGTAGGCTGCAGCTCTGTTTCACAAAATCTCTGTATGCAGGTTTTCAGAACTAATTTTTCAAGTTATTTGACAGAAAATTTAGAACCAACCAATAGGAAAAAAAAGGATGAATCATGTTCCAGGAGTAGGAAACTTGCTTCTGTTTGCCAGGCTATCCCTGTCCTTATTGAAATCCTTCCTGAAAACTCTTCTGTGGTGCCCACAAGAAAGCTGTAGTGATGTTGAACTCCCATTCAAACATAAAGTGTCCTCTTTCTAGCATGTCCTGTTGTCTTTGCCTTTTGGCTGATAACTCTTTGGGTAAGGAACATCTTTCTGTAATGTTTTATGCTTCACCAAGCAGACTGCCAACACTAAACAAATAAAGGATATAGGCTGTGGTTATTGCTTGTGTATTTTTCCTAATTCTGGCAACATTCCTCCACTTATGAAATTCAGCATAGTTTTGTTGAATGTAGTTTTGCTTCACAGTGGGTGCAACTACAAGTGCGCTTTACTGCAGTTGACTAATGAGCTCCGCAGTAAAGTATCACTGTCTACACAAGTGTCGGTATTAGGTTGCAGTCGATTAATTAACTCTGCCATAAGAGAGTACTATCCCTGACAGTACTATCTTATGGCAAAGTAGTTAACTGCTGAAATGCTTGTGTAGATGGTCTGCCGCCCAGCCCCACACTTTAGCACCCTCGTGCCCCAGCCAGTCCCTCCACCACCCAACACCAGCACACGGAGGCCACGACTGGGCCCCGCACATGAAGATGCTGCATCTGGGAGCAGCTGACTCTGGTGTGAACTGCACCGGAGTTTATCTCTGTGAATTAGTTGAATGTGTAGATGCACCCAGTGGTGACTAAAGTTGTCTAAACATGAAGAATCAAAGTCCAAGCTATTTTGACTGAGACCCTTCGGGCGGCTTTAGAATATCAGTCATCTCAGGAGTTTAGTAAGTACATTAACAGCTAGTTTCTAAGTAAGGTTAGTTTCCATTTGGCATAGAAAATTAAACAAGCCTCCAAAGTAGGAGTTTACAGCAGTAATCTTTCGTATTGGTCTCTGAAAGCCCTGTCCTTTTCATTATATTCTCTGATTGTCTTTAACCTTGTCTCTTTCAGATCCATTTAGGATTTGAAACAGTTTGTTCAACTCCATCATCAAAGTGAACATTTGCAACAAGGACAACTTTTGGCAAAACATCCATGTGATTAAAGGTAATATGCTAATCATTTCATTGCTTTATTATTAGGGCTGTGTGAAATTTCAGCAGCCTTTTTGTTTCAGAAGAGTTTCGGTGCCCGAAACACCGAATCCAAAATGAAACAGAAGGCTCTGAAATATTTCCAAAATGAACCAAAACCATTCAAAATGTTTCAGAAATGTTTTGGAGCTGGGCTTGAAGGGAAACAGAAACCAAGAAGAGGGAGGGGGAAGAGGGGCGGAAGGACACCTGTAGCAGTCCAGTGTCTGCGAGCTGTCCCCGAGGTCCCTTCCAATCCCAGTGCTCTGGGGGAGGGACAGCAGCCTGCTGTCATCCTGCTTGCAGATCCGGAGGCCTGCGCCCCCCGGGAGGTGTCTGGCACAGCCCCACAGCCCTCCTAGGGGGCGCAGGCCCCTGGATCTGTGTGTGGGATGACAGCATGCTGCCGCTGCCAGCTGGGGCTGGGGCCAGTGCCAGCACCTGAGTCTGTTCGGTGCAGCCCACACTGAGCACAGCTGGGGGAGCTGCGGGAGAAGTCCCCATGGCTGCCCTGCTCAGTCCCGCAACCTGGCACTTAAAAAAAAAAAAAAGAAAAGAAAAAAAGAACAAAAAGTCCTGCACTCACCGGCTGTAGCAGGGGCTGTGGGGGCTCCGAGGCCTCCTGGCAGAGCCCCCCCCACGCAGCCCCCACCCCTGATGGCCCCCCCACTTGGCCCCAGCATCCTGCCCTGTGTTGCATGTGGGGGCTCTGCCACAAGTACCCTGAGGCCCCAATTGCCGATTCTTCAGCTGGTGATTGCAGGGCTTCATTTTTTTTTTTTTTTGTGCTGGGACTAGGCTGGGGTTGCGTGGGAAGTGGGTCAGGCAGGCCAGCCATGGGGGCTTCTCCGGCAGCTCCCCCCCCCCGGGGGGGGGGCAGCGCCGCGGGGCGGGCGGCAGGGGATAGGACTGGGCAGGGAAGCCATGCAGCCGCTTGGCTGTGCCTGCCTCTCCCCGGCCGATCTGTATCTCCAAAACAGCATCAAAACTCCGCAACAGATTTGGCCGAATCAAAACAGCGCTGTAATCCAAAACACCAAAACAAATCACTGTCCTCCAAAATGGCTGAATCTGAAATCGAAATAAGACATTATTATCCCAGTCCGGAAGCTACTGCTGTTACTGCTGGGAGGCTACTGCTCCCTTCCTTTTCTGTTTTTGACTAAGCATCCAAAGACCTGTCTATCTTTTATCTAAAGATCATGCTTTCTGCCATCCTGACACACTTAAAGCAAATCAAATGCAGTCCCAGCTTTTTGTTTGAAAAACAGAGCTATGAAGTGAACAACATGGATTTTTCTATTGATGTGCACAATTTTGGCAAACTCATGCAGTATCATTTCCTAAAGCTGAGGAGAAATATCTGAAACAGCCAGCAATGTGCCATGTACCTTGTCCACACTGCAAAACAATGCATGTTGGAACTTGAGCGTTCCAGAATAGTTGTGCCATGCTGTAATCTCTTTGTTGAAATGAATTAAGGTAGTGGTGATTTAATAAAATGTAACAGGCCTACATCTACTCTCATGCCCACTTATAATCTGAAATAAGTTATTTGAAATCAGTGGTATAGCATTGATGCCAATGAGAGCAGAACTGAGCCTGAAAACTCTACCTAGATTTGAGCGTTTGCTAGACTGGGTCATCTTAAGTGATGCCAGAGTTCTGAAATTCAGGTGTCAACTGCAGGGTAAGACTAAACTGATTGACTTCAGATTTATTACCTGTGAACTGAAATGACCTATTTCAAGAAACATAAAAGTACAAGAGCTGCTTGCATACAATTTTTTATAGAAATTTAGGGCGTTTAGACATGTGCTCCAGGGAGTGTGTGTGATATGCGTGTGTGTGGGGGGAGGAGTGCTTTAATTAGAGCGGATCTGAGAGCTGCTCTAACCCACGGTGAAAAATGGCAGTGGGGGCGCTTTAACTAAAGATTGTCGAATGAGCTTCAGTTAAAGAGGCCCCACCACCATTTTTCGGCATGGGGGATGCTGATACACGTAATGCTAGAGTCTGCTGGAGTGCAATAATTACTACACTTTAGTAGACTCAATTAATCAAGTCTGCTCAAAGTGCTGTAATTACAGCACGTCAGAGCAGCCTCGTTGCACGTGTAGAGGTGCCTTTAAAACCCACTTATAGCCAAGTACAACTTTCAGGGTCCTGGTGAATTGCCATTGTGCCACTGGTACTGACTAAATTTTATCCTTCCTATAGATGCAACCTGCATTAAACCAAATGGAGACAGGCAGTTCAGAGTGGTTTAGATTAGATCAGATCACCAGTCTAGCTAGCTGGAATCATAAGCCCACTAGTGGGAAGTACAAGATGCTTCAGAATAAGATACAAGAAAGCCCACAACAGACATTGGGCTCATGGTGAAGTTTTTTCCTAACTCATGGTTGGCGCGTGCACACACGCACGCACGCACGCGCGCGTGCACACACACACACACACACACACACACACACACACACTTTAATTAAATAGCCTATCTTATACAACTGTGAATGCTCTCATTATTCAAATTTAGTGGCTAATATATTGGAAGCCTGGGCTGCTGTTGGCTTAAGTTAGTGGCTTTCAACCTTTTTAGAGTCAAGGTACCTCTTGGAAAATGCCAGCTTAGTTTTCACTCTTTTTTTGACTAAAGAAAAGTGGTAGAACAGTTTTTCTGCTACAAAGAACTCAGAAAAACTACAACTATGGATTTCTATTTGAAAACTCTGGGTTTACCTTGTGAATCATGTTTGTAAGCCTAAGAGGGTGCTGTGGTATCCTGGTTGAGAATCACTGGCTTAAGCGCTGTCTTGCAGCTGGGAGCTCCGTAGGTTAAGTATGCTCTGTTTAAAGCAAAAACAAAACAGAAAAATCCTTGTATTTTTTCTGCTTAATATGACATTCTCTCTTGCTTTTTTCCACTGTGTGGTAGGTGGGTTAGCGTTTGTCAAACATTTCACTGCTCGGTATTCCAATGGTTGTTTTAAACAACATCACCACCAGAAATTCAAATCCTGTTTATTTGTTCAGTGCCTCCAAAAGGGATTGGAATAGGTCAATTCAGCCATTGTGGCTGTTTCTTTATCATATTTGGATTAAATGTATCTAGTTGCTTTTTTAACTAGTCTTCTCTATATAGATTTTTCATGGAAAAGCAAGAATAGATTCTGCTACTTTTTTTTAATTGGAACATTCGAGTTTAATTAGACTGAGGAGAAAGTAAATGTATCTCTTAATTCACTGCTAGAAAAAAATTAAGGCTGAGAGTAGGTGACTCATCCACTAGAACAGAATTTATTCCTTTTGTTTGTAAAACGCTATTTATTGCTGTGCTGTGTATTGCTATGGCTACTGTATGTCATTGGTGATATCAGTACATACAGTACATAAACTGAGAGCTAGACCCAGATTGAAAGATAATATAGTATTTATGATAATGATAAATCATCCACATTAGCTACTTGCCATGGGGCTTTAGCTCTTCTTACATAAAAGCTGCAATGAAACCCATCAAACATTGCCTCAAAAACAGAAAATTCTTCTCCATGTAGATCATGTCACCTCCACAGTGGCAATGTTATAAACAATTTGACAGTGTCCTGTAAGTGATTTTTCTCTTTTAGCTGAACTGATTCAAAGCTGCATTTTCAATTATTTAGTTTCTAGTTATTTTTAATGTTTGATATTTAAAGTTGTTATAAGCATCACTGCGTCCACAGACTCTATAGATTTCTCTTGCAGTCCTTTAGCATTTCTAACTGGAGCTTGCAAACAATTAATCTATTTCAGTTAAAGCCTATTTTTCCCCCAATTATATGGCTGGCATTCTTTTCTGAAATGCATGAAGTACAATCACTTCTGCCATTCTATTCAATCAAGCACTTAAATCGCATAGATTTTTGAAATGGCCTGGGCTTCAGCAGCTTGGGAGCTGATTCACTAAGGCATCTGCTGTGACACTAGCCCGCCAGCCACCACTTGCTGAGCCAGAATTATTTGTCTTTGTCATTTAGAAACAATCTGTAGGGCTTAACATGGTCTCAGGGAAGTACCAGGTCTTTTATTGCCCAATAATAGAATTTCATTAGGTCTAACAACACTGTACAGCTTAGACAGCTTGTTTAAATATATGTATAAAGCTAGGGAAGTGTTTTAAATACTAGGTAGCAGGAGCAGAGTGAAAGTGCGATGAAATGGGCAGAATTTGCCAATTGGGGAGCAACTTGGGAGGGCAGCAGGTGGCCTCCAGGATAGCAGGGAATCAACCCCTTTGGCAGAGCAGATAGACTTAATCTTTGCCTTTAGCGAAGGGCTGTATTGCCAATCCCAAGAGTTCGGAACTAGAAACAAGCACCAAACCTCAGAGACCATTTCCAGCCTGATAAACACATTTTTCAGTGCAAGTCCACTGTAGTCCTGTCCCTTGTTCATGCAATGCAGCACCATTGCAGAGAGCTCTGCAACCTGAGAAGTGCAAGGAAGGACCCCATGTGGGGTTTAGTCAAAGCTGTGCTTCTTGTTTCCAGTGAATCAGCAAACAACATAGGAGGAGACTTAGAGCAGGTGAGGTGCATGCAGCCTAGCCCAGTGTGGACGGACAGGCAACCATGCAGAATCAGAAAGGCAGGAAGAGTGGTTCTGAACTGCACACAGACTCATGGTGGCACGACAAAGTTCTTGCTAATCTTGCCTCTTGTGCCAATAAGATACCACCACCCATCAGTCACTCCTGGATCTCAGGTTAATAATTTGAAGATCCTTCCTCTGTTTCCTGAGTTCCAATTTCTTACTACTGTGATTTCAAAAAATCCACAGGGTGAGAAATCATATGGATTACTGGGTAGTTTTAAGAATGGGAGGGTATACTTCACGTATAGAAATGTCTACTTTACCTGCAGGTATTAAAGCTGCCAATCCTCCCCTCTTCGGAGATGAATCCAAGTCCCAAATGAGGGCCCTCGGCCTGAGCCTCTGTGTTTAATAGGAACAGCCTGATCCCTCCTTCACCAGCTCGGGTGTTGGTTCTGCTGGTTGTTGAAATAAGGGTTTTGGTTCCACCTTCATTCTTCAGTCTGTCAGACTTATCCCTTGAATTTTATGTGGTGCATGATGTAGTTTAGAAATTGGCTTGAGAATTTGTTTTGGATCTGGGGAAGCAGTTGAGGTTTGGGGCCAGCTCATTGCTCACCTCGAGTTCCAGTTGGTTTCCAGTTTTTATTTTATTTTTTTAAATGCCGTGCTGTAGGAGTTAAAGTCCCTGTGATATCACACTGCTCTGTGCAGCTGCTAATTAAAGTCATTGTGAAGGGTTTTAAAGTAATTGCAGATATTATAAATTTTCGATCTGTGGTGTAATTGCTAATGTGGGCCTGAAACGTTTTCCTTCAGTATGGTTTAGTTTGTTGCTCATGTTGGAAATAGTCTTTATGATGTAATCTTCTGTTTGTGAGCTGGGACCAGTAGTGGTGATAGCATTTGGGGGCACATAAGCTATGCTTACCTTGGCTTATCGTAGAACTGTATAATTGATGGTGCCTGTGTTACATGTGGTAAAGGAGGTTCACATTATGAATTCTTATGAGGCAGAACCGGACACACTGGGACAAATTCCCTACAGGGCAGAACTCCAGTGAAGACAGTGGGGTTATACCCAAAATGAATCTGGTCCCTTTGTCTGTGGGTCGCACATTTTGTTTATTCATCGTGAAACGGGTTTATCTGTTGATGGCTACAGTTTTCCTAACAGTAATTTGTGCGATTTTCGCATGCACTCTCATCATTTTTTTTTTACAGTGGTGGACAAAAGTATTTTATTTCTAGTGCTCAAATATAGGGAAAATCCTAATTTTACGGAAGTGAATATAAATGATAGACTAAATAACATGTTGCAATGCAGATCATTGTGTGACTGCCTCCTTGCTAGTGTTCACCCGTTCTGATCCCTCTGTTTCAGCTGTATATGGTCCACAAAGAATCAATAGAAAACTAAGGTCAGATTTATAAGGGTATCTAGGTGCCTAATGATGAAAATAGGCACTTCTGTCAATCCTACTGTGCACCCAACTGCATGAGGTGCCTAGTCTTATTCATTTCAGTGGTGTTTAGGGGCTTGATCCAAATCATTCCCACTGGTAACCTCACTTGAGTGTTGCAGCACCTAAAGGTAAGGCACCTTGCTCCAGGAGGGCACCCCAGATCCATAGGCTTAGACCGTCCCCAAGGTGAGTTGTTGGCCTCCAAAGGCCGATCTAGCGTGCGCAGGTTCTGAGCAGGAAGGAACCTATAGTGAGCTAACAGGAAATGCCAGTCTGAACTCCTGCTTATCCTCACAGCCTGACTCAGGGCTGTCCTTGAGGTGCCTCTGTCAAAAGGAATAGGGGTAGGTTAATTCAGATCCAAAACTCCCAAAGGAGAGGTGCCTACCTAAACAAGATGCCTTGCCAATGCCAAGTGCATTGAATTCAGTACAAAGTACAGTAACTGTGGTCACTCACAGAAACAAAGAAAAGGATGGAGCTGCCTTTTGGACAATAGTGGTTAGAACAATACTGTGGGATACAGGCGACCTGAGTTCTAGGCTTTCCTCAGCCAGAGGGGACTCAAACTCATATCTTCTGCTTCCCAGGACACTACCGTACACCACACTACCCGAGTACAGCACATTTCAGGTGGTGGCACCCTCCACTCCTGTTGAAGCTAGACCCCTGGACAGTGAAGAGGAAGAGTTTTGGGGTGAAAAGGAAAGCAAACAAGGAGAACTGTGATTCTTGTACAATGAGGAGGGCACTTCCATGGGAGAGGGAAAACCTGAGTTCCAGTTCCTGCTCCTAAGAACAAGCATGTGCATTCTTAATTTAGACTGTCTTAATTTAAAAAACCCCAGAGATACCATATTCAATTAGAAGATGACCCTGATTATAAGACAGTTTAGATTCTATGTCTGGAAAATGTATATATTTGTTATATTTTCCAAATATAGAATCTAATGATTGGAGGTGTGTCTTGAATTTGTTCTTCTCCCATTACTACAGCAGAGAAAATAAATATGGAGATCAGATTTGCTCTCTGGTTCCTTCTACCTTTTCCCCCTTCCCTTTCTCTTTACTGTTAGATGCTGCTTTCCCTGAGCATAGCAAAGTGAGGAGCAAATTTTAAAACAATAACCTTGAAATTAAACATGGCTGTAGTAATTTGCATATAGTCCCCATAGACTTAGTTCATTCAGAATTGATGCATGTTACTTTTTTTGAAACTGCTGCAAGTTTTAGCATAGGTGTTTCATAAATACACTGTTGAGCAGCACTTTGGCATTTACTTATATTTTATATAAACTATGCATGGTATTAATCCAAAGCCAAAAGGTACATGATTTACCACATATTTCACTGGGCTGGGCCCCACCAGGGTCAACAGTATTTCGAGGCCTGGTGACCTCACAGCTCAGCTCTGCTCCAGATACTCGTCACAAGGGATTCATGTGCTAATTAGTCCCCATCCATGACTGGAACTGGATATTCTTGTCACAAGTCCTGGGGTTCTCCAAAAATTTATATTCAGATGAAATGCAGGGCAACTTGGTCCAGCTTCACCTCATGGAAGGCAGGGCCACACTGCAGGAGGGCACAACGGAGGGATCCCAGGTGAACTGTATGCAATGTTGTGGCTCACCATGACTTGAAAAAGAGTGGGTGGTAAGAGGGATTGCACTTAATGGGCACTAATATATGTCTTATTCAAATGGGCTGCACTAATTTATCCTGAATGACTGAGGTCTGCTCTGTCGATAGAATTCAGAACTGAGTTGACTGATTTGGCCCAAGATGTGAAATTAAAAAAAAAACCAAGTGGTAGGTTCCAATCAGCATGTTTGCCCAATGTAGACCATGTGTTTTATAGCTATACTCAGTGCTGGCTGCATTTAGTCAACATCCCAGTTGGTTTCCCTTGCTCAGCACATGCTGCTTTTGGCTGCAGTTTAATGATAGACAATGTATTTAATGAGATTTCCTTGTATGTGATTATAAGACAAGGGGCTTTTTTTCCCCATGCCAACTGGGGAAAAAAATCATCTTGTGTTCAAGTAAATAAGGTAACTGACAGGAATGTAACAAGGATTTCAGTGGACTGTTGGCACCTCTCAGCCCAGATTGGGATTGCATAAGTGCTTAGTCAAGAATTAGGTGTTTAGGTGCCTGATCTGGCTTGCTTCTGAGCATGCTCTGAAGCTTAAGTCTGTGCTCCTACAGAATTTTCCAGATCAAAATTGATTCTAGGTGCTTGTGTGGTTTTGTGGTTGTTGGACTGGGGTCAGTGTGGACTGCTTTCTGTGTCTTATGCATCTAAAACTCTGCCTAAGTCCTGTTTAGGCACTAACAAGAAATCTTTGGTTCTGGTCCTAAGTGTCTAACCTGCTTAAGTACTTTTGAAAATCCCTGTAGCTTTAGGCACTGAAATACTTTTGAAAATCTGGTCTCTTGATACCAATACAGGTTTTAGGTATGCAGTTAATGGCCTAGTAGAAATTACTGCATCCCCTTGGCATTGTAAATATTGGAGGTGTTAGGTAGAATAAAAATAATGAAAATATTTTTAATATTTCTCTAGTGTTTCTTTAACATCTTTTCTT